CTTGTGTTTGAGAGAAAATTCTCCATCCTAAAGGCTTCAAACTCAAGCTGACAAATGGAGGATCCAGCCCCACTTTGAATCCTAGACAAAGGAGGTTATGAAAATGGGACCTTTACTCCTTTAGGCTTGTGAAGCAGAGCAGGCTTGAAGCGGTATTTTGTCCCCTAGTTCTATGTTTCCTGGTTTTGCTCTGGAAAAGCAAATGGGACAGGATTGGTGTTTTCTTTGCTTCAATTTCATCTGGCAGCTATTGCTACTGTTCATTGCCCTGTTAACAATTGCATAGTGTTTACTGTATGCAGTGGTTAAATGGTTAATGAATGGTTTGTTGAACTCTAACCATTTTGGCCAAACCTGTCCATCACTGTTGACATTCCTGTGATTGATGGCCCTTCAAACCACTGGCTACTCATGATGTCTGTTCACCTTCAGAGAGGCCTTCCTTGTGGCTATTCATTCCTACATGAAGAACTAGTACGCTCTTCATTTTGATCTGTACTTTCTGGTGTTCTACATGAACCCACTCACTGAGCCTGGATCCTTCACTGTATATGCTGGATACATTGCAAGCCTTGGCCTTTTACAGGATGCAACAGCTGGATTCTGTCACAACTGGTCTCTCTTCATTTCCTATGACAAACCTGAGAAGGGCCAATCAGTGTTGATGTACAGTTTTTGTGGGTGGATTGGAGCACCATTAAACCATGCTTCAAATGGTCTGGTTTCTGATAAATCCCACATACTCAGTGAGGAATGTTGCTTTGTATCTGGTATGCCACAAGCACATCTTCAGCCTCAAACACTGTCATATGCCTATCTGGTTACGGTTCTCCATGTTTTGCATGCTGTATGCTCTGGATGATTGGACACTTTTGCATAGTCTGTGCTGAATCCAGTGGTTGCCTGATGCAACCTGTCCTGCTTCCAAGTAAGTTAGCTCGAGCTTTTCTCACTGTGGGCCAACAGCTTGCTTCCCTGAAACTATGTTTTTTTTTAAAGGCTACCTGTACAATCACATAACCTACCCTCCTTCTCCACTGCAGTTATCTCTAGTGCAGCTCTTGTGCTTCTTTGCATAAAGCCTGCTTTGATGATCCTCCAAGGTACCCAGTCTTCCTGAAAGGGGTTTCAGGGTGAACATTTGCTGCGTGAATAAGTAGAGGATGGGAAAATTGCCTTTGGCCCTCTTTGCCATGACATTCATTTTTTCCATAGCTCGCTCGCTCGCTCTCTTGCACTGTCCCCTGGTAGCTTACCAGGTGCTTATGGAAAATAACCAGAAGTCCTGCCATCAATGATCTTAATTTGCACAGGCTGTGTCTAGGCCCATGTGGGATCTTACAATGTAGAAATTAAGGTGGTGGGCTGGCCTTGGGAAGCATGTTTCTTCACAGTGGAACCAGGCCTCCTAGAAAAATGGGGAAGCAGCAAGAGAGATAAAGGGTACTGTGATAGGGATTTACAAATGCCATGTTAGGAAGCTTGAGCTGAAGTCATTTTATTCCTCAACTTCTGACCCCATTAAACTTCCAATCTCCATCCATTCTATTTGCCCTGTACCTGTTGATGCTGTTGCTTGATTTTCTCTGAAGTCATAATGGCCCTGCAAGACCATCCACACAAGGCAAATTCCCTAGTTTATATATTGGATTGCTCCCTCGTGGATGCTGTTGGCCTAGCTGCTATGAAGGAACAGAGGGGCATGTATGACTAGATCCAAATAACTGGACAATAACTTCTCCAAGATTATTCATCCTATAGGACTGTACCATGCGTTTTCTCAAAAATCCCTTCCTAGCTTTTGTTAAACTCTACATCAAGTTGCCAATCCTTGAAAAATAATTACTGTTGTTACCTGCTTTCAAGTAATCTCTGACCTTATAAATGAGTGCTCCAAAATGTTTCCTCCTTGGCAGCCCTGCTCAGCTTTTGCAAACTCCTGTACAGAACTGACCCGTCTCATATTTGGTCTTCCTTTTCTTCTGCCTTCAACTTTCTCTAGTGTTATTGTCTACTCCAGGAAATCTTGCCTTCCCATGATGTGTGAAAAGTATAACCGCTTCACTTTTGTTATCTTTGCTTCCAACAATTATTATTATTATATTGCAGTTATATCCTACCTTTTTTCTTCTTGTAAGGAATCCAAGGTGGCTTGCATAGCTCCATTTCATACTCACAAAAACAACCCTGTGAGGAAATAATGACTATATGGCTTGAAATTCTATTACATAGGAGGCAGGCTTTGGAGAGTAAGCCAGTTTTTGGAAAATGAAATGCCAATCAATCATTCACTTGGCTCATAGCTAGGAACTGGTTCTCATCTCTGTTTTTTTCTTGGCTAATGCTCAATTTCAGTTATAGTTACCAGATCAATACAATAAGGGAAATTGTATGCAGAAAAAATCCCACTTATAATTTGCCCCAGCCAATATCCCCCATGGCTGACTGGGGAATGCTGGGAATTTATTTTTGTAAAGTAGACTTTTTCCTATTCAAATATGCATAGGATTACATCCAGAGAAAGCAATCCTATGGCCTTTAGACATTGTCTGATGGGCCATAGGATACTGGGAACTCCTGCCTGTGAAGTTGTAGACAACACTCTGAGCTTGGAAGAGGAACTGGTGATTGTTCCCTCTCCTGCACCCCCTTGTGGCCAGTGTGGAAGCAACTGCAGCATCTGCTCTCAAAGGTCCAAAAAGTCAGGTTGGAAAAGAGAAAAGGGGGTACTTTGATGAACAAGGAGCAGAGGAGACTAGAGAGACCATGATATGAATTGTCCTGAACACCTTGCAGCCCCCTTTCCTCCCTCACTGAAGAGCTTTTGTGAAATGGGCAAAACGTTCCTTTCACAAAAAATGCCTGGTGGGAGGATGGAGGGGTAAAATTCGCCTCCTTCACCATGGCCCACTGGATAGTCAGAAGCATTGGATATCATTAAGGAAGCAATTAATGATGCCGCATCCTAAGTAACTAAAGAGGCTTCCTCCTGTGCATATATGTTCTTCTGCTCTTAAAATGTTCAGAGAGTGAAACTGCCTCAGTATGCCACTCAAATCTAGCAAGTAAACACAGAGTTTATGCACATTTATTAAGAGCAAGACCTACTGAGTTCAGTGCGAGTTCTGAGTAAATATGCGTAAGAATAGGCTGTAAGATATTTTTTTAAAATCAGATTGGTATACTATAGAAAGGCCTTTACAGTGCAACTAATAAATGACTACTAGTCTCACTGAGTTCAGTGGGACTTACTCCCGAGCAAGCAGGGTACCGGATTGCAGCCTGAAAAAATTATATATTTTCCTGACATCTGCGACCAAAATAAGGGTGGCATAATCGTGCGTGAGCGCGCGCCCGCGCGCGCCTGCATGAGTATGTTTAATGCGGGGCGAGGTGTGCTGATGAACAGTCGCAAAGGTATCTTGTGATAAAAACAAAAATCCAAATTCCTTCATGGGAGCTGAGATGGAACTCTGGAAAGGGTTAAGGCTGGCCGGGCTCTGTTGTGCGTATGCAATAATCTGTGTGGCTCTCTTGGCCGCCTGACAAAGTGTTGCCTCCTTCTCCTCCCCACCCCCACTCCTCCCCTTTGCATGAGGTAGGATCCTTGAGCTGATGCAGAGACAGCCAACTGCTCCATATTTGGCTTCTATTACACATTTACATACAGGAGAAGAGAGGAGCGAGCTTCTGTACCGCAGACATCATTTCTTCCACCGTTGGTGAGGAGGCATTCGTATCACTACGATGGGGAAGAAACATTAAAACAAACAAACAAACAAACCTTTTTTAAAGCCTAAGCAGCCCTTGCGATCAGCTGGCAAGACCTTGTGAGTCTCTCTGTCTCTCTCTCTTTTCCCCTGCCCGCACCCCCTCCCTTTCCTCCACTGACACTTTATACAAAGTAAGTGGCTTTTAAAAAATCGTTCGCTGCTTTCGCTTCTCTTTCGCTCCCCCCCCCCCAGCTCTTGAAAACCTCCAGCGATTTCCAGCTGGAAAAACACATGTAGGACTGCTAGGGTGGAGGAGGGGGAGGGTAATGGTAATGCCATGTCCTGTCATCTCTTTAACGGTTTGAAGTCTTCTTTACAAGAACCCAAGCATTGCATCTTTTCTCAGTCTCTCCTCCCCCCGTCCCCCAATCCTGTGCTGAGGAGGCTGGAGGTGTAGGAGGAAGGGGAAATCAGGCCAGGAAATGGTGTATGTGCTTTGCCATGGGGGTGGTGCTGGCTGGAATTCTTTGCACTCTGTGTGTGTGTGTGTGTGTGTGTGTGCGCGCGCGAGAAATGTCCTCCTTATGCAAACACATAAGCACAAAGTAAAGACAGGGAGTTTGTAAGCGTCGCCCGTCGCCCCGAGCGCGCGTATGTGGCTTGTTTGCTTGCTTTTCTCTTCCTCAGACAAACCGGAGCACCCCCGCTGCCTGCCGGCTTGCCTACGTGCACTGGTGTTGGGAAGGCTGGCTGCGCCTCTCGCGCTTTGCCATATTGCGTGGCTGCGCCCTGCAAGAGAGACACAGACAGAGAGAGACACGAACAACTCGGGCGACAGCGACCGTATGCAGTTTGCCCAGGCCCCGGGTTTTTGTGTGTCCCGAAGCAACGCCCTCCGCCGGCTGCGCCGCCGCCGTCTGGCTTGAGCTGCGTCCGCGCTGCCGCTGCTGAAGGCCGGCTCGGCTGCTGGGGGCGAGCAGAGCAGCGCGCTCCCTGCTTCCCCTCCCTCCCCGACTTCATAGTAGGGAGGGCCAGTCTTCGCTGCACTGTGTAGTACGGGGCTGGGTGGTTGCCGAAGGGGTGAATGAAGCGAGGAGGCGGCGGCGGAGGAGGAGGAGGTGGAGGCGGCGCTGGGACTGGGATGTGCCCAGAAGCGGCAGCTCCTCCACTATGCTCCTACGTTCAGGGCCCAGGTCGGCTGCAGACTCCTCCGGGCACTTCAGCAAAAAGTCAGTGACGGAGTGAAGGCCACTGCTGGGCACCAGGACAGGAGGTAGGGGGCCCATTGGAGTGGGAGGCCTGCGCTGCCCCTTCACCTTGACACCATCCTCTCAAGCTAGCTTCTGTTTTTTTGCCTTCCTCCAATCCTTCTCAGCGAGCAAATATGCACCGTCCAGTTTCTCCAAGGGATCTCCAAGAGTCGGTTTTCAGGAGCTGATGGGCTTGTCTTCACATACTACAGGATTCCCTGTCGTGCTTTTTTCTTCTTTAATGGGGAGCGGAAAGAGAGAATTCTGAGACTGACACTGTTTTTGTTGCATGCCTCCAATGTTCTCCACCTTCCCCTCATTCAAAATTATTTTTCAGAGCTACCTTATTTTAATTTCCTGAAACCTTGCTAATCTGCATATACTAGATAATTGCATATGTCCTAAGAACGTTAGAAGAATTTTTTTAAAGAAATGTTGACTTCTACTGTAACACTGTATTATTATTAATAATAATAGCAACAGTAATAATTATAACAACATAGTGTTTAAAAGGCAGTACTTGACGGTTTTTCGAATTTTGTAAAAGAGAGGCACAGTGATCAGAAAATAATCATAGAAAAGAGAGCAAACTGAAAGCCTGTTATATAATGCCACACTATGTGGATAACAAGAACAAGCTATTTTTATTTTGTTTACCGTATGGTATGCAATAGGGACTCCTCCAAAATAATATTTCTTCTCTGTGATCTTGGACCCCATTACAATTAGAGGAAGAAGGAAACCCACAAGGTGGCACATTATTCATAATATTGCTCTGTACAATTTTCTGTTTATATGTGTGTATACACATACAGATACACACATTCTTATGTAAATGCATGCTTTGAGTTTGTAGATTATTTTTGTAATATGCAAGAAGAGACCTGTCATGATGCAGCTGATTAAATATTGAGTATTTAATGTTACATGTTTTTGCAGTTAATAGTTGCATATGTTCAGATGACGCTAATTACATTGCTAACGTTTTATTAGACAGATAATTTCAATTGCTGATGAAACCTTCAATAGCAAATTCTGATTTCATCTGTGAATGTGGAATTGTTTGTCTGGCTGGTAGGGACAGCCTAGTTTCATTGCTCTGAGGAATAGGGCTTATGAATGAGGAAGAGGTAATTGAAAGAGGGGTGAGAGACTGCTAGAGTAATGGGTTATTATGGTTTATATTTTATCTCTTTGTTTTTTAAAACAATATTTTACAGGTCATAGTTCTGTTGAATGGGTAGCTTTAATCTCCTCACCTGTGTAATGTAGCCTAAAATACTGATAGTTTTTCCACAGTGCTATCTCTGTATGTGTGTGTGTGAAAGAGAGAGAGAGCGAGCAAGCGATCATGTAGAGACATGTCAGTGGTGTAGGTTTTCAGTGCACTCACTCTAGCCCTGATCAGTCATGTAATTAGATCGGGCTGCCATGGTAACAGACAGTATTCATCGTCCATTCAGGTGCGTTTTTCTTGTGACTGGGATGCCTCAAATGGTGCCCTTGCTGCAGGGATGGTCAGCTTGTTAAGCTGTGTGTCTTGTTTATTGAGTGCTGCGGCTTGTTTGCATTTGATTTATGTAATATGCATGTAATTTGAAATGGAAGATATCAGTGGCAGCTGCACATAGCAGCACTTTTGCGATATCACTAGCACATTTTCTACTGTAGAAGTTGTAGTTCGTAAGATTCTGTTTTTGTAACTGATTAGGAAATGTTTTAGATTTTTGTTTACCGTGCTTTAGCAATGGTTGGTGCGCAAAAGAGAGATAGGTTAAGTTTTTTTTGTACTGAATTTACTTATTATTAGTTCTTCTCCGAAACTGGTAAAATTGTGGGTGGAGATGGTGGTCTCTTCTTCCAGCTTGCCCCCTCTCATTAGCTTTATGGATCAGTTGGTTCCCTTTGCAGTAGATAACATTAGCTAAAGTGTGTGTTAAGAACAGATAACATTCCATGTTGTCTTTTAAGTAGCTTCTTTTTAACTCCACTTTCTCAGCAGTTGCTGTCTATTTTTCATAATTGGAATTTTACTTTGAAGAAGCTCTTCGTGGCATCTCTGGAGGTGTGGGAAGGCCTTCCTTGTTGCTTATATCTTCTATTCAGTGGGGCCACTCAAGCATACTTCGAATAACAGCAGCACTTTAATACAATTGAATATGTGACAAGAGCTCTTTGATTGCATGAAATTTGAAAGCAGTAAAATAGAATTTTAAAAATTTGACTATTTATTTTGCAGTATTAAGTTAAATGCTAGTTAATTATGTTTTGAACTTCTCCTGCCCAATCTTGGATTACCCTCACCCTGAATATAATGTGAGATTATTAGGACTTTAACTAGATTGGAACAAGGAGAGGTAACCTGATGCCCTTCCAATTTTTATATTTCAGCTCCTATCATCCCCAGCCAGCATCTTCAGTGGCTAGATAGTATAGGAGTTACAGTACCAAAAAACCCTGGAGGAAGTGATGTTTCCTGCTCCTTACAGAACTGTCCTGGGAAGGGCCAGTGGATATCTGGGGACTATTATGCTAAGATGGCATAGTTTGTGTGGGATGTGTGCATTTCTCTTAATGGATCTTTGCATTACAGTTGTGCCAAAAATGTTCAAAGCATCTAACTACTGTAGAATGGAAGGGTTCCAGTTCTCAAAAATCCTGCAAAGGCATTCATTTCCTGCAAGAAATCTTCTGGCCATGCATTGTTTGATGAATGGCTGCTAGTTCCAGTTTCTAGAATTTGTATCATTTTTGACAATAGCTCTCAGACTTTTAGGCAATTTGTGCTTTTGATATAGCATACTGCTTGTCTTTACTTCCTGATCACTTAAACTCAAGGAAGTTAATAATGAATCATATAGTGTCAGTAGATTTTCACCACAAATAGATAATGCCTAGATAGTACAACTTGCATACAAATAACTTGGGGGGGGTGTTATTTGTGAGCCTGCAAATGTTTAGCTTTAAAGCTGCTTCAGAGTTTCTGTTGAAGAAGTCCTATTATAATCTGGTGCTTTTGTTGGGTATTTAACCATTTGCAAGCAAGAACTGAATGTGAAATTTCAAAATTATTCAAAAATTAGCGAAGCTGATATTTTAGTTTGTAAGTTGCAAAAGTTATGCAAACATTTAAGCTTAACTTTATCAACCAGTGCATTTCAAAATGGCAGAATTTAATTATCAAGCATAAAGTTAACAGTATTGTGGCATTGATTGATTGATTGATTGATTGTATTTGTATGCTGCCCCATAACACATAGGTTTTATTCTGGATATTTGTCATCCTAGAAAAGCTTCAGGAAAAAATAAAATAAAACCAAAGGCACTTAAAAACTGTATTCTCATTAATGGCTTAGGTAATTTAGTCAATAGTTTTTTTATTTAGTATACCTATTTTAATGAAAGTGAAGGAGCAGCAAATGCCTCTTACTGTTAATGCATTTTTATGTACAGTAAAAACACTTCAATATTGTAAATAGCTTATATTTCCATTTCTTGCATATTTTAATAAATATATTTTACCAGATTAAAAAGTTGGGTTACCATTTTATTAAACAATTTGTTCATTAGTAAAAAGACAACAACCCACCAAACTATAAATAATGATGGGACTCAAAATTTGTATTGTGCATGAGTATTATCTATAAGTATTTTTGATCATGTATTGCAAATGTTTTACTAGTATCCTGTGTAGTGTAAATGAACTGGCAGGATTTTCTCTGTTAAGCCTCAGCTTCTCTTCTGATGGGTATTGGGGGCAGTTTTTCACAAACTAAGAAGGCCAAGCTCTTTCATGCAGTGAACCAGCCTGGAGAGACTGTAGTTAGTTTCCTGGCTGTACCACCTTCAAAACTTTTGTCTAATGCGGGTTGGAATGTGGTGGGTAAATTGAAACGGCTACATATAGTTTTACTGTATGTGAGTCTGTGTATCAAATCATGGTCTTGGTACATACTGTTATATGCCGATTTGTTTATAATTTGAAGTTCTGTGTGCTTCCAGGAAAGCGTTGGATGTGTGACTGAGATGTCTGAAGAAACAATTTTCCCTCAGGAATTCATTATATACAAACTTAGCAAAGGGGCTAAGGATATTTTATAAAACAGCTTCCCTGCTTATGACTTCTTAAATCATATTAAATGTTCTGTATTTCAGTATTTTACAGTAGAATAAGCTACTTTGTGCAATAAAACACATGATCGAGCTCTTTGCTCTCTGAAAGCCAGAGGCAATACTTACTTATACTGGTGTGTGAGGGAGCGAAAACAGGCTTTTCTTTTTTCTTTTCCTTTCCTTTGGTGCCATACTACTAAGTGTTGTCTGAAATGTTTACTGGTTTCAGGCATAATTTGGTAAAATACTTTTTTAGGAAACATACATTGAGAAAATCCTCAAGTTCCTAGCTGATCCTAGGAATTGTTGAATAATAAGTACAATTCTTACATTTTAATAGATTTAAGGTGCAGTCCTATGCATGTTTAGATAGAAAAAGTCCTGGAGTGCCCAGCATGCCCAAGCTAGAATCTGTGTTTTGTAGGACTTTTTTTCTGTCTAAACATACATAGGATTGTGCTCTGTATACAGTGTCAGGTGGTGCTTTTGAGCAGACCTATATAGGATTGTAACTTGGCCTGCAGTTGGGGACTACTATTATAAGACAAGCATAAATGCTAATTTTACTATGTGTTAAAGTATGTGTTTTTCTGCATTATAATTTATTTATTATACAGTTATTTGTAAATATAAACACACCATACCAAAACTGCACTGATATGACTGAAATATTACATAGGCACTTTTCATTCA